CTTCGGGGAGCTTTCTGGGGTCTCGACGGGCACCGTGGTCTCGAAGGGCACTGTGGTCTCGACGGGCGCTGTGGTCTCGACGGGCACTGTGGTCTCGAAGGGCACTGTCGACCGGGAACACCGTGAAGTGGGTCTTCGATCCCACCACTTCCATCGACTCCTCTTCCACTGGCTTCTCCTTTCGATTCTGCCTCGCCCTCTTCCTTTCTTCGCGTCCCTCGGAGCTGGAGGACTCGAAGCCTTTCACTCGCCTCTCCATCTTGCAACGACGAAGAAGAACGTTGCGGGGGAAACACTGGGCCTGCTGGTGAACCCTTGCTGCTCGAACACTGCGGGGCAAAACATTGCATTGACGAACTCTGAGATTCTGAGCTCTTATCAACGACGACCCTAACACTCTCAGACAAGGGACCTGTGCTCCGAATCTCAAGCCAACAGCAATTCTGCTGCCAGTGCGTCCGAAACTGGTACCTACCGTTGCGAACCTTGGCCTCACCGGGTTTAAAATTTACGTTCCACCCTTTCTGCGACAACAAACCAAGACTCAACAGGGAGAACTGTACCGGCGCCAAGAGGGCCACAAACTCTACACACGCTACCTCTTCACTAGTCGCTATCGAAGGCTCCAAGAAAAACATCGCTCGTACACGAACCTTTCGACGAACTTCTATGGGAGCTCCAGTAGCAGTGACACAGCCTGGGCCTTCTGCACTAAGTTCTTCCACCACTTGAACATGACCGTCTCGCACCAGACTCTCCGCAAGCAAATGCACACTCGCTCCTGAGTCCACGAGGAAGAAGAGGCCGTCGTCGGTGCTCCTTTGTGAGAATTCCGTGGCGTGCTGCGGACACATGAGGGCGTGATGTGTTGCTACTCCTATGCTCTCAACGCCTTCACGCTCAAGCTGACCGACGACATCTGTGGAACTACTGTACTACTGTCCTTGCTTTCCAAGATAATGCAACTCCCAACGCCTTCACGCTCAAGCTGACCGACGACATCTGCGGAACTACTGTTCTTGCTGCTGTCCATGCATGCTATGCTTGTGTCTGACAACTCACGCTCATGCCCATGCTCACAACATGCGTTTCCCGAGGTTCCATGCGCAAAATCATGTTCGTCAACATCAAAATCACGCTCAACTTCCCCATCACGCACGTTCCGCACGAAGCTTTCCCATTCTTGGTCACTCAACTCAGGCGAACACTCCGAACGACCATCTTCCGAGTCGTCAGCGTCCATCGCAAACACGGCCGCCGCAATGACCTGCGGCTCTAGCAAAGCTCCTGCCACATTCGGCCTTGTGCCTCCCTGATTGGAAGGCTTCTGAGGGCAATCTTTCGCATAATGTCCGGTCTGGTGGCAAGTAAAACACTTCCTCGCCTTCTTCAGCTCTTCTTTCTTGGCGTCGTTCTGAGTTGCACTCGCTTTATCACTTTCTTTCCCTTTTCCGTCTTTCTTTCGTTCATTTCCTTTCTTTCCATCCTTTCCTCCATCACGCTCATTTCCCTTTCCACCTTTACCCCCTTTTCCGTCCCCTTTCTTGCCTTTCTTTCCGTCTTTCCCTCCCTTTCCGTCTCCTTTCCGACCTTTCTTCCAGTCTCCTTTTCCCTCGGGAAATTGAAGCGGATTGGCATGATCTCCCTTTCCCTTTTCCGCAAACGTCAGAATCTTCACATTGGAATCGTAAAACTTGATCGCACGCTCAAGCTCTCCCATGGAATCAATCTTTGCATGCAACAGGATGTACCTTTTCACTTCGACGTCAAGGCACTTAAGGACAATCATGCTCTTGTCTGCTTCCGACAACGCAAGGTCAGGGAACGACGACACCAGGCGACTATACTTGGCAAGTTCCACCTGGACGTTTCGATAGGCATCCAAAGGACGATCTCTGGTGGCTTTGGGTGGTTGGTACCTGAGGATCTCTTCTCGCAGTGAGGAGGCTTCGATCCTGGAGCAAACTGACAGGCTGTCTGTGTATAGGGAGGAGCCGCTATGTCGCTTGTTGAGCGTGTAGGGTTGTTGGCAACTAGCGTGGAGAACCGTCTGAGAGTTTGGACAGTGTTGCAACCCTTGGAGCAGCAAGTGATTGTGCTCTTGTTGGTGACAGCTGTGTGTAGTCTTTTGCTTGGAATGAGCTGCGTCGGCTGTGCGTGGGGTTTGTCGATGTCTAGGCATAGAACAAAGAAGGCAGGAGTCTTCCCGGGACACGTCTTCTTCTCGCCATACGGTGATTGCTATCACTTGAAGGATGACTGTCATACGTTGAGGAACAGGCCTACGGTTAAGAACCTTTGCACGTATTGCTTGGACAGGGGCGTTTTCGAGACCCAGCGGGCAAACATCCCACGGCCAACGCGCTAAGCGCTGAGGCTTCGAGCTTCGAGCCCAAAGGGGGTGTAGATAGTCAACGTTTTGTGGGCTCTCAGTTTGAGTAGGAAGTGTGTAGTGTAGAGGTCAGCTCTGTTTTCCTGCGTTGCCACGGTTTTAGAGTGTTTTGCATCTGTTTGGAACTGTGCAAGCACCTTGAGTGGCATTTGAGTTGTGTGAGCTGTTTGCGACTATGCAGCTTCAGTTTTGGAGAGTGTTTAATGACTTGGGAAGCCCCGCATGCAAACGCATGTTGTTTGGCTCAAGACCGGAGTCGTGTTTCAGTGCGAGAAAGCTGAAAGAAGTGTTCGGAGTGCCTGTGAGCTGTGTGACTGTGAGGGGTTACTTGCACTTGGTACTTTGGGACACGAGTGAGTTGCTTGTCTTGTGCGTGACTTTGGTCTTTTACGTAATGGATCATTTTTTACCCTCTTCTAATGCAAACAAGAAACCGAAGCAAGATTCGCGAGAAGGGTGGACTTTGGAACAATTCTTTCGAACGAAAGAAACGAAAACAAGGTAGGACCCTTCCTAGCTTCAAAGTACTGCCGATGATGCCGGTGACTTTGCCGCTTGAGGATCTGGAGACGCTCGAATTCGTGGCATACATGAGGCCGCGCGTAGGATCGTCAATGAGAGAAAGCGACCCAAACGCCGTCGTCAAGCTGCAGCGAATCGGGCTAGAGTGGTGAAGGGGAAGGGAGGGAGACCAAAAAAAGGAAAGATGACAAGGAAGGGAAAGGAGAAAAAGAAAGAGAAAGGAGAAAAAAAATGAGAAGAAAAAGGAAAGGGAAAAGAAACAAGGGAGAGAGTACCCCCAGAATTTTGCTTTCCGTGGGAATTTTGACGGAACGCACCCCAAAAGCGCCCTAAATGGCTGGTAAAAATCGCGTTTTAAGCCCTCAACAAAGTTGGTTTAATCGAAACCAACTTAAGTTGGAGTTTGCGCCTTTGCAGCTCAGTCTGAGCATCAGTGGACAAGCGCTTGCAAGTTCATTCTGCCTAAGTTCCATGAAAAGTGTCAACTCTGTGACTTTCATGCTCGAAACTCGTCAATATTGTCACCGGTTTCTGTCATCCAATTTGTTTGCAGTGCGAGAGGCGCCAAGAGTGACATAGGTTGACAACTTTTTCTGAGAAGCCGTCTGTCTTCAGGAACTTTGCCTTAAGTCCCCCCTTCAGCCCTTAAGCTCCCCCTTAAGCCCTTTTCAGCCCCCTTTGAGCCTCCTTTAAAGCCCCTTCAAAGAGTCTTCTCCAAAGCCTCCCCCTTTGCCCCCTTTAAGCCCCCCCTTAAGCTTCCCCCTTCAGCCCCTAAAGCCCCCCTTTTGAGAAAGGTGATGGAATCAAGGTCTCCGACTCACCTCGTTCATTTTGGCATTTTACGTCCGTGAGTTTCGTGGAGCGTTTTTCACTTGCATGTTTGTCATTACTCAATATGCCTGCTTGATTGTCTCAAGCACCTAAAGGCGAAATATTTTAAATGCAACTTATGGGCGCTTTGCCAGTCTGGGATCCTACCTAATTTCTCTTTGCGTCTCCGCGGATGGCAACGATCTGGAGTTGGAAGAGACGCGTCCAAGGTGGTGCCCAGACAACAGCTGTTTCCAAGGCGGTGGCCAGAACAATCGCTGGTTTTTCGGGCGGCAGCTGGAAAACCTGTCGTGCTTTTTCGTGCTTTATCTTACACTGCTGGAACAAAAGGCGTTTGTTGTGTCAAAGCCGAGGCGCGCTTGATCCTGTCTTCTGGGTCTGTTCATACTGAGCCTCCTTTTGATGACGCTTTCCTGTGTTCCAAAATGACGCGTTCCTGTGTTTTCAGGGTCTTCGGGGACACGTTTGCCATTTGCATGATTTTTTTTTTAACGATAGGAGCTTGGCAGACGTGCCTTTGGACCGGATAGTGATGCCCATGTGAGAAGAATGATGTCTCTGCGGCAGTTTGCCGTGTTGGAGTTGCCACACGAAACATGTACCCGAAGCCCGAAGCTATGGCTGCGGGACTGAAGATCCAAACGTGTTGAACCCTCTGTTTGCAGACCGGCAGACCGGTGATCCAATCTCCGAGCCCTTGCACTCAACACATAGAATCAATGCTTGAGTACGGGTTTTCGTCGCTTAATTCAACATGAAGTTCTGCACATGCGCAACCTGGATCTATCCCGTCGAGCCTTGTTGCGCTCAACGCATCAATAACCAACTAACATCTTTTACTGCATGAAATAACAGGCTTGTTCCACTGCGTGCTGATGACGGTGTGCAAAGGTAATGGTGCTTCTGAAGGTTAGGCATGTGCAAGTTGATAATATCGCCGAACATATGACGATGATTTCATCGGAGATGAGTTTAAGTCATGATATGATCAACAGACAGATATTTAATGGGTACACACGAGGCATTTAATGTGCTGAACTCTTCATGTCCCGTGGTGCTGCAGATGACAACGAAGGCCTTAGTTGCAAGCACAGCGATGTAATCTCAAGAGGGCAAAAATGTGGTTTGACTGGCATCGGTCGAGACGTAAGCCAGGTATTGTATGGGGAGACCTTGTGGCAGCTGCGGGAGCAATCGGCATGTCTGTTGACCTGGTGCAGTCATCTTGTTGTGTTTCTCCAAATAAGTGCCACCGATGTTGTTTTCAGGACAAGGAATATTTTCTCGACATTGCTGGCGATGGTTTCGCCGTGGCATCGGGGAAAGAGGTTGGGATGAGGAAGTGCAGTTTCATCGGCCGTGGCTTTGTCGATTGCAGGCAGATCCCGCAGAGGCTTTGTGCATGTTTTGTTGTGCTGAATGTGCGGTGCCACGCGCGCAATACAGATTTAGCTACATGGTGCACTTCATTCTTTGCCTGTTTTGGCATTTGATTATTGTTGCAAGGTTGCCGAGTTGGTGGAACTCCTGCACGCGGGAAGCTGGTCGAACCTCCAATGGCCTTATGTTGTGATTCCGGCACCACGGCAGACCCACTGAGGCGCTCGTGCAACGTCAATGACTGCCTTGCAGAATGCGTCAGCTTCTCATTGCCCGGTTTGCTGCCGAAAAAGCTTCGAACATAGTCAGCTTTACAGATGTGTTTTCATGTTTTGGTGTTGGTGCTACTCTGCATTGTGTGCCGGTTCCACCCATCAGGTCGCAGTTGGCTGCAGCTGCAGCCGGTCAATCAACCCCACTGCTCGCGACAGCTTTTTGAGGACACCGTGCCAGTATATGCCGGTGCTGGATTCCACTGGATGTTTTCGTCGATGTTGCAGCAGTTGCAGCACGGCTGCTTACTTATTCGGGAGGATGGCTGCGGACCACATCCGGAAAAGCTGTGTGGGAGTGGAGGAGGCTGCACCTGGTGCAGTCAACAGCTCTGTAACAACATCTTCTGCTTCCTTGTACGTATGATTTATCTCAGCAGTTTTTGGCTCATGCTGCCTCAGAGGTTCTTGTCTGGAGCTAGATCCAAGGCCTTTTCGAAGTTCTCGGAATGCTAATCACTAAAGTGGTTTCGTAGTGGGCGTAATTTGCCTCCCTTGCCTTTGCACATGGAGGCAGGATACACTCAACTCCGTCCCGGGAGGCAAGTGGTTCTGCAAGGCCTGTCTGCCACTGGGTTAAATGGGCTAACGGGGCGCCTTCAGTCCTTCTATGCCGACCGTGGTCGTTGGGCAGTTTGCGTGGGGAACACGCACAAGCTCCTCAAACCAGAGAACCTTGAAGTACTCGACTCCGACTTTCAAGGAGGTGTGGTGACAGACATCTTGTCTGAGGACCTCTTCTTGCGAGTATGCCACTTCCTGCCAGCACCTACACTGTTTGCCATTAGCGCAAGCTCAAGGGGCATACGGTATCAAACCATGGGTAGCAGCGAGTGCTACTCGCTTTGGCGATCACTTTGTGTTGAGATGCTGGGTGAGTGCCTAATCAGCTTGCATGTAGCAGCATGGGCTGATGGACGTGCTGACCAGGTGGAGCGAGATAGGGGATTTTGGAAGGTTTTGTTCCAGTCAGGCTATGGGTGCCAACAGTTTTACTACGATCACCATCTTCGTGAGAGGTGCGTTCACGGTAGTGACTTCTTCAAGAAGTCATTGATACCCAAAGGCGCTTTCCCAACAACGGAGAGTGGAACAGGAGAGGGTGGAATGATGGTTGTTGACAATGGAAAGTTTGAAAAGATGAAAACTGAGATGCTCTCGGCCAGTGGTCATACGGCCTGTGCCCTGGGAGCAAGTGTTTACATGATTGGAGGGTGGCGACCCTGGGCTTCCGAGGAGGATCTCCATGTTTCTGTGGTGGATTTTCCGAGCTGGTCCATACTGGAGCCGCGCGTGGCCGAAACCTCCGACCGTCCAGAAAGACGCCTCCGACACTCCAGCTGCGTGGTTGAAGCATCTAAAGGTGAGAAGGCCATCCTTGTCTTGGGCGGTTGCAATGATAGGACGCATGAGCCATGCGAGGGCCTTCAAACACTGCTTTTGCTCACTAGGGATTTGAACGACACAAGCAAGATCTCCTGGAAGAGGCTTCCTGCACGTGGACAAGTGCCCAAAGCTATCTGGCATCATGCAGCCGATTCCTTTTCTTCCGGACGAAGAGTGGTCGTGTTTGGTGGTGACATACCAACACGAGACCCTGAGTTTACTTATGTGGGGGACCGTGCATATGCTAATTATGTGTATGTGCTGAGCATGGAGTCCCAGCAGTGGGATCGGGTCCAGACAGATGGACAAGTCCCAGCGTGGAGATCTCTGCACGCTGCTGTGACCTTCACATCGTTTGAACACAGCTGCGAGCATATGGTCATGATTGGTGGCTGCGAGGACCGTGTGGAGATATTCCAAGCTGGAAAGTCAGCCAAAATGGTCGGCTTCTCCTTGAACCTCAAGACGATGAAATGGAAGCGGGGCCCCGAGAGAAAGAAGCAAAGTGAGACCCGGGCAGTCTTCCTCCCCGCGCCACGGATGCGCTTTGCGGCACAGCGTTACGGGCGGCACCTTCTCGTCTACGGCGGCCACGGCAATGCCACCATACCAGAAGACGAGGAGCTTCTGCTCCTGAACTCCAACACATTAACCTGGCTTAGGGCCACCGTTCTCAATGAAGCCTCAGAGTTCGGCGTCGTGCCAGCTGCTGCGCTGGCAGCTGGCTGTGTGATGGGTGGGGTGCAGCTGGGATCACGTGGGGCCCAGCCTGTCCCAAAGCTGGACATGCTCGTCCTTGCTGGACCGACTCCTCAAAAGGCTGAGACGGATGAGACGGATGAGAGGGAGCCGGAAAAAGGCCAACATTAGAGCCCATGAACGCGCAGCTGATTACACTGTACAGAGTGATGGCCTTAGTAACAGACGCAGTCACTGTGCCCGGCTTGCGCACCTGGAGGTATCTTATGCTTCCTTGGGAAGCGGACTGCTGCGCTTCGATTTCTGCTTGTTGGAGCTGCTGCTGGCAGATGGCGCGGGGCTCGGGGATCGGGGGTCGGCCTGGAGGGCTGCTGTAAGGACTCTGAGGGGACTCCTTTGTTTCCTTGTTACACTTTTTGTTGCACTTCAGGGGATCGCTTGGAGAGTCTTGGAGAGGCGTCCCAATTTCCGCTGTGCATCTGGTCGACTCTCAGTACGAGCCAGATGCCAAGGCCCCATGGGGGCACATTCTTTTGAAGACGTTGAGGACGTCCTCTCTGCCATGGTGAAGAAACCCTGAAAGGGCTCAACCTGCGTATCCTATCACGCTTGAACGTACGAAGCTGTACGACGAACGAGGCTCATCCTCTGAAGACATGGGTGTGAGAAGTGACAGAAGTAAGCCCAACAGACTCCCCAAAACTCATGGTGACTCCCTACTTCTTTCTCTCACTCCCTTGGGTTTGGGGCTGTGCAGGGCTACTTGCGCCATCGTGTGGCTCTCGCCCAGTTCGCTTCCTGGTTTGCCGGTCGGGGCGTTGATGTCGCGACGCCCTGTTATTGGCCAGGCTGCTGAGGCTTTAAGAGCTTTGCTCGTGTGATGTCAAGAGAGGCAAGAGCTTCCAAAGAGCCTCGAGAGGTTCCAAGAGGTTCCAAGAGTCTCCAAGACAGTCTCCAAGAGCCCCATGCTGCGCCAGGTTTATGCCCATCACGCCCTTGAGAGATATGCCTTCGAGGCTCGGCGCGCTGCGGCGGGATTCTCAGATTCTCCAAGTGTGGCCATTTTCTTTAGTCAACTTTAGTCAAAGTAAATTTCACACTAGCTTAAGCCTCGTAGGCTTGAGAATCTTTGGCAGGAGGGGCCTGGAGGGGCTTCGGAGAGTTCGCGCACAACTTGTGTTGGGCAGTGCGTTGTCCACTCACTGAACTCTCACAATGACGCCACATCGCAAAAGCGAAGCACGTGCCTCTACGTCACTCTGTGTGCGTCTGCACCGAGAGCTGCCCGGAACAGTTTTTCCTCTTTCATCCTCAGCTTGAGAAGCCCTGTCGAGGTTTGTTGGCTCTTTTGTGGATTGCTTGGTGTGGCCTTGCATCGCGAGTACTATCATATGCCGCAGAAATGGGATCTTCGCATGCTTGCAAGCATCATGCGCATTGATGTGATGGGCTCTTGGGATAGCTTTTGGCCATGAGGTGTAGGCAAAGAAGAAGATACAGGTGCTGCTCGCTGTCTTCTCTTCTTCTTCTTCTTCTGCCCTGAGGCACTTCCGATAGCCGTGGTGCAGGTGGACTGCACGGAGCTGACAGCAGTGTTTGAGAAGGAGGCTCGGCCGAGTGGAGATCAGGATACTCATATCGCTTGCAGTCATCACATAGCTTTGCTTGGCCGCGTCTTTGTCTTGAGTGCAAGCATATTGCGCACAGGGGAGGGGCATTAGATGCAGCTTCATATTGCAGACTTTGGTTGGGTTTGTGGCCTTCCTCGAGTACTGGGCTTTTCATATTTGTGGCATCTATTCATCTGTGATACTTCCGTGTCTCCGAGTCGGGCATGTTGTTCTGCAGTCGTGCAAGCCCCCTCCCCACCCCCCTAGCAATGGTCGTGTTCATCCCAAGACCATTGCTGCCACTGCCGTAAGGCACTGCGTAAAGGTTGTAGCGTAGGGTCAGAAGCATTCGTTGTAAGGACAGGATGTCATACCCTGTAAGTGCTTGTTGCCTGAATGGGCCACTATGATCGTGTTGCCTCTGCTTCTTTTCTCGTGGAGACTGAATACTGGAAGCCACTGCAGAAGTCATGCTTGTCGGCCTGTCGAAAGATCTCCGCTCCAATCCTCAAGGGCTAGCTGACAGGGGGTGTGTGGGATCCTTGGCAGAGGTGACGGGATGGGTAGGTGTTGGCTCATCTGCTTGTTTGCAAGGCTTGGGCAGCGTTTCCTGCTGTTTATCCGCTCTTCCCACCCCCAAGTTACCGCCAAGTTACCGCCACAGCCTGCGAATCGACACACAGGTGAAGCCCATGTTGGAAGAGGTTTTGCAGTATGGTGGCTTGTACTGCACGTTGACATCGCGAGAGGCGCGGTGTGGTCAAGCTGCTGGTCCTCTGTGTCTTCGTGAATCCAGTGTACTCAGCAATCCTGCGTTCAAGGGCGCCTCTGGCGCCGGATCCCTCGGATCAACAAATGCTTGGGCAGAGGCTTTGGGCATCTTTGCAAGGTCAAAAACTTTTCATCCGGTGGCATGCCTATACCGCCTATACCTGTAGGTTACTTGTCATGGAAAGCTTGTGGTGGACAATCTGCGCGTCCGTCGAAGTTTTGCCCAAGCATTGAAGAGCTTTCTGAGCGCGCGCTCAAAATTCTCGACCGATTGTCAGGACGGGCTGTCTGTGAGAAGGTTAAGTGAGGGGAGTCCAGGAACATAACTTCGTTGCTGCCGGTTGAACCTGTCCCTGCAGACTCAGGGTTCTCCGACAAGGTCCAGCACTGCGTAAGCCGACGACATCACAAGTATGTGCAGCCCGACAAGAAAAACGCATTTTCCTTCCGCAAAGCCTGTTGAACTTTGCACAGTTCTGAGATGGTTGTCCTTGGTAGATCCTTAAGAAAGACCTACTCGAAAACTTCGTCAAGCAACTGGCGAAGCTGCCGCTGAGCTGGTCCGCTAGGATGGCGGATTCGGGATCTGGTGCCGGCCGAGGTCAAGCAGCGGCCTCCGTAGGGCCCTCTGGAGGTCCTTCATTGACACGGTAGCTCCACTGCGCTGCCACTTTGCCCCGCTCGCCCCGCTTGCCCCGCTTGCCCTACTGGCCAGTCAGCCGCAATTGGCCTCTAGTGTACAGGGTTTGGAACATTTGACTTACCAAACGCGTGACCGTGACGTGCAAGTCCCACGTGTATGGAGGCATGGGAAGTTTTGCGGGCTTGGAACATCGGACTTGCTAAAGGCGTGACTGTGGCCGAGCGCAAAGCCGTCTCTTGGAATCGAGGGTGCTTGTTTACTTATCTTCTGGTATGAAGTGTGCAAAGCCCTAAGCCAAAGTCCTCAACAATCCCTAACCCGGACCCAAGAACCGGAAACCCCTGAACCCGAAAGCAAGTGGGGCAAGTGGGACAACTGGGCAGGGACACTTAGAGCCTTTCGACAGACTCTACGAGCTGCAATTTTTGTGTAAAGCAGGAGAGCTGCTGTTCGACTCTGTCTATTTGTGGCTTGTGTGGTAGCCTCTGCTCTTCAGACCTGACCCTAAACTTGAACCCGAAATCCGGTTACCCTACCCTGGAGCCCTAAACCTTAAGCTGCTGAGGTTGGCGGCTCCCGCACAGCCCTCGCTCGTCGCACGACGACGAGGTGCCTGGGCTTGTGGATGTGGAGGGGTGTCGGGTACAGGGTTCAGGGTTCAGGGCCCAAAAACACCCCGATCACGAGCCCGGTTTGTGCCTCCTGCAAGATTAATTGGTCATGTTTGATCATGTTCCGAAGCAGAGGTTGAAGCTACAAGCAAGATCAAGCAAGCCTGGTGACTGTCAATGTAGACGTAGATGTCGGAACGCAGGTCGGGTGCCGCTTCTGGGGGAGCGAACAGCGGCAAGAAGGCTTCGCTCCCGCGAATCCGAGGAGTTTTGTACGTTCCCTTGTCCTGTTGCTCTCAGGCGGGCGGCGGAGGAGGAATTCTCAAGTTCTACAGCGACGACACCCCTGGTCTCAAGGTCCTCTTTTGCTGCATCTGTAATGCCAGTTTGCGTGATCCCGAAGAAAGCTCGGAGGTGGGCCCCACTACCGTCCTGGTACTGTCGCTGGTGTTCATGGCCATTGTGTGCCCCTGGGCTGGAAGGGTACAGGAGGCATGCTAGCAGCGCTAGCAGCTGTACAAGCCCAGTGGGTATGGTCTTGGTCGGAAGTTCCGGTTTCCCAGGCTCCTTGCACATCCTTGGCAAATTCCGAAGTGGCTGAAGGCTCGAGACTGTGACTGGCCCGGCATGGATGTTGAAACAGTGTTAAGTAAACAGAGGACCTGAGGAGCTCACAACCGAGCAAGGTTTTCTGCTTCCTTCTTTTGCCAGGCTCCGTGGACAAGGGCCAAGACTGAGTCGAATCAACGGAAAATCCCATAGCCCACAAAGCCCATGGAAAGGCTGATATCAGTCTACAGTGCATCTTTCGTTGTTGTGAGGCTGAGGGGTCAGCGTGGGGTTGGATGGATCCGAGGCTCTCGGAGGGTCCAGATTTGTGAGTCCATCCCAAAGGCACAAAGGATGCCAGACCGAGCCAGTGACTGGCCCTCCATTGCCAGTTTTGAGAGGAACTTCTGACGTCCACAGCGCCGCAAAGAAAAAGCAAGAACAAATGAGGGGCAACTGAACATTTGCATGTCGCCTTTGACGAATTGTTGCCAGTTCTGGCGACTGCACCCGGACACGGGCCGCATGAAGCTGGAGTCCCTGACTTGCTTCAGGAGCTTTGGCGTGCTGTATGCATTTGGTACAGAAGGTAACAGTAGGCCGTCGCCGCATCAGCTAATCAGCTAAGCCTGGGAGGCCTGGAGATCAAAGCTGGGGACTCTGCGAAGCTTTCCTTGGGCTTGGGGGACAGTATGGGACACTGGCTTGGGCAGCTGTGTGACAGGCCGTGTTGCTGCAGGTGGGACGCCGGTGGACGTCAATGAGCCTCTACCTCGCGCAGTTGATCACTGACTGCCGACCTGACCACCCGTAGAAGCCTGTGTAGGGCCGCAGTCGACGAAAATGGAGAGCTTGTCTCAGATACCTTCAGCTGTCAGCATGGTAGGAGTTGATCGGACGCAAGCGGTGTGAAGTGGCAGCTGTCCTTTCTCGGGCCATTTCGGGCAAGATCGCTCGGTCAGTGTAGCAGAGCACCCGCGATCTGTGAAGTGTGATTCCGGGCATGGCACCGTGGTGCCAGAGTATCTTCCTGCACTGGCCTCGGCTGTGATCCAAAGCTGCCAGTCTCTTGCAACAGACTGGACTTACAGCTCGACAAAGCTCAGCGATAAACCATCACCAAGTTTTCCGAAGCTGATTTCCGCACCCCACAATTTCCGCTCCCCCACAGTGGCAAAGGCTCCTGCTGGCACGTGGCGTGGGCGCACAGGACTTTGAAAAGGCGCACATGCACTGGTTGCACTGAGGTTGCACTCAGGTTGAAGTCTTTGTGACTTTGTGCCTGACCAGGCGGCGACTCACTACTGGAAGGCCCTCATCAATGGCAGCCACCTTACATGGAGAGCTAGGGTATTTCCAGCACAGACCCGGAGACCCGATGCGGACCAGAATTTTTGAGCGGATGCCCAGGTGAGATCAAAGGTAAAGCCCCTATCCACCGCGACTTGCACATTCCGGAGCCTGGTTGAGCATGTTTCTGCGAGTCTCTGGCCTAGTTAAAGCTGTCCCGTTGTGAGCCAGTTTGTGTGGAGTCAGGACATGAACAAGATCAACACCGTCATCGATCCCTCAAACGCTCCGAAGGCTTTTCTTTGAGTTGCACTCATCACGCTTGCACGGTGTCTCCCTCTGCTGCACGGCCCGTGTGGCAATGTGTGGCGCAGCAGAGCACGGTAGCCTTGAGCAATGACCATAGGCCCAGTTAAAAACAGCAACCCGCAGGCTGTCAACGTGCTGGGGGACAGTCCTGTGCCATCCTTGGAGCGACGGCGAGCAGCAGTTCCATAGGTTTACGGAGTCCATGAAGTATATGAAGTGCAGTACTTCCCGATGGTGGTTGCAGCATCTTATGAGTGGTTAGAGTTGCAAGACGTGTGGTGATTTTTATTGCTAGTGGTCGCAGAATGTTGACTTCTGCCCACACGGACCATGAGACCTGATAACGAAGTGACAACCCAGCACAGCACCAGAAACGCCTCCAGAATGTACCTAGCCCGCCTGACGCGACTGTGGGGGCCTTCGGCATGCCATGGCTCTGTTGCAGTGAAATGTGCTTCGGGTGCTGTAAGCGTACCGTGAAGACGTTGTTTTCTAAAACGGTTTTTCGGGCGGTAGGGTGTCCTAAGTTTCTTAGCTTCCATTGCCCCGTGTATTTGGGGGAGGTTTGATCTAGGGTACGCTAGGTTTCTTCATTTGTTTCTGAAGAGAGTACGTTGTACCACTAGGCCAAATCCACATATACAGGCATGAGCCTTCTATTGGTATTTTGTTCCCCCCACCTTTCGCCTAACCCCTAATCATCCTAATCCCTGAACTTTAAATCCTAAACCCCAAGCCTAAACCCTACACCCTAAGCCCTAGACCCTAAACCTAAGCCGATTTAATTTACGAGTTCATATTGGCAGACAAGAGTAACAGCGTAGGCACGCGCATTTGGACCATTCTTTTTGTCGAAGCCTGTTCGCGTCTTGGGCGAGTATTGCGCCCTGAAAGCTCCCAGAATGTGAGTCGTCTTGGGTGGGTGGGGGTGGGGGCCGGGGGACGCCAGAAGCGCGGGGGAGTCACAGACGATTTTCACGGCTGTTTTAAGAAAGCCCCCCCCCCCCCCCCCCCGAGCACTAAGGTACCCTTCTACAATGGTTTCTTATGCAGCGGTTTGACTGTAGCAGTTCTCTAGGGTAATTTTGTCATTCTGACAGCGACGTACTTGAACCTTTTGGAGCTGGAGGTGGACCCCGCGACGTTCGATTTGAACAGCAAGACCGATCAGGCAAACCTTGCCAAGCTGATCAAGAAGATGGATGCGGACCCGAAACACATAAAGGCGCGACGAAAGTACGGGAAATGGAGGAAAAAGGGGTTTGGTAAAGTTTGGTAGCTACCTTCTGTGGCCAGGAAGAGGAGGAGCTGAAGAAGAGGGTGGAGCTTGCAAAGAAAGGCTTCATTCGCAGCTACAAGGCCCGAGTTGGGGGAGGGAGGTGGCAAGGTGGCAATCAGCTCTTGGCCTTCCTTGCAAGGCGATGGTGAGAAATGGGGTGAAGGGAGAAGCGTTCGACAAGGGCGCGCTCCTGAAGGAGGTAGAGGAGCAGAAGGAGCAGAAGGAGCTGCCAGCGCCCGCAAGAGACTGTGGCCTTCAAAGGCTGAGGCTGAGAGAGCTTCCTGAAATCAGATGCCCACACCACACTTTGCGTGAAGTGCTAGAGCTGCTAGAGCTGGACTTGTGTACCAGTGACTCTGATCAAAGCGTTCTTGCAAAAAACGCCCGCCTAAATGGTACTGTTTGAAACGAGTCGGGCTATTTTTTTTCTCTCTCTCTCTCTCTCTCTCACTCCTGTCTCTCTTGTTGTATCCATTGCTTGTTCTCTCAAATTGCTGTGAGGAGCTTCCCGAAGCTGGGCAGACGTGGATGCGTGCTTCTGGCCTTCTGGCCAAAGTCCCAGAGTGTTAGAGTCCAGAGGAGAACTGCAGAGTCTGACTCCGCATCGTCTTCTCTCCGTATCCTAAGCAAAAAAAGTCCTCCCAAAGCAAAGGCTGCGAAGTTTGGTGACCATGCCAGGTCCTCGGTGCAGCAGCAGCTTCCATGGGCCTCTTTGCTTGGCGCAGAGGCGGGGCACCTGAAGTCCGTATCAAGAGACAAGGATGCTTCTGTTTCAGGCTTCAGCTGAGGGAGTGCCGAGGGATGCTTTTGCTTCTCTGCGCAATCTCCGACGCCCAGCTGAAGTCGAAGCCACACACCCCGGAAGCATCCTGAAATCCTTCAAAGCCCAAGCGCCCCAAGCGCACCAAGCGCCCCAAGCGCCCCAAGCGCCCCAAGCGCCCCAAGCGCCCCAAGTGCCCTTTGAGCTGTGCAGCTCGCGCCACTACGGAAAGCTTGCTTCTGGTCGACGCCTCCGACGTTGAGACGCACTAAGCCGGGCAATGATTGATAGGTTCGGAATTGTACTTGTGAGTCGTTGTGAGTGCTGGCTCATGATCCTTTTACTTTCGGTTCCGGACTTTCTGGAGCACACTGGCAAATTAGCACAAGTCCACAAGTCTCACAGCAAAAGTTAGCTCGGCTTGCGCGAAAGGCGTAAGGGAGTTGAGGCACTGCACTGAGCTGGAAAAGGTGCGGGCAGAGCCAGGCCTCTTTGAAGAGTGGATTCAATGGTAAACGCTGTAAAGTGCACATGTGTAGCTGAGTGCACAGAAATCTCCCGCGGACATCGGGACAACAGCGTGGTGCCAGTAGGAGGAAGATCTGACCGAATCACATATATCTGACCCGATGGATCTCGAGAAGCAGGCCCAGGAGATGGCGGAGAAGGCGCCCGGCCTTTTTTTTGGCTGCGGAATCGAGGTGAGACCACTCAGAGGTGCTTCTTTTGGGGGGAATATCGGAAGAGCGGCTACTTCCCTCAGAACAATTGAGAGGCCTCGTTCTTTTCATTCATTCGGTTGAGGGCGGGCATTCTTGTTTCCTCTCTTTATATTTTTTTCTCTCTTTGTCTTTCTCTCTCTCTCTCTCTTTTCTCTTTTTTCTCTTTTTCGATTTCTCCGAAGGCCCTGGCCTCGCTGCCGGCCGCCGCCCGCGCTGCCAAGCTGGACTCGGCGCCCCCTCTCGGTATGTCGATTTCGATGTGAAGTGAAGTAAGGAGGGAAGTAGGAGAGAAGTCAGAGAGAAGCGTGTGAGATTGTTTGTGATTTTTGATCTCAGAAAGTTCTTAGACTCCCTCTAGAGCGATCGCAAAGTACTGAAAGCTTGAGACCGCACATGTTCCTTAGACCTGTTTAGAGGGCTTTGGTGTCGGCTCTGCAGCGGTAGGTGAAGGCGGGCATCTTGAAGAGGCTGCAAGCAGGCAACGGGGCGCGTGCCCCAGCACCGGTGCTGGCACCTCCGCCGCCCCCAGAGACTCCACGGATCCCAGAGCCAGAGAAGCCAGCGGAGCCCTCGTGCGTGGAGGGGGTGGAACTCTTCGGGGACGTGCCGTGGTTCACAGACATGGAGCTGCGCGGCCGGTTGCTGGAGGAGGTGAAGAAGGCCCATGCTGCAGAGAAGATCCTGGTGGCTCCGCCAGCGGAGGAGATTCTGCGGATCCTCGCCAAGAAGGGGGGCCAAATGCTGGGTGCCGGGGCGGTGCTGCGCTTGGGAGGAGTGCATCATGGTGGCTATGGAGAGTCGGACATCAACTACGCGTATCGGCAACTCTCACGAGCCCTCCATCCAGACAAGAACCCCGGCATCGAGGAGGCGCGCCCTCGTGAAATAACAGAAACAAGCTACGGAAACGAAGCGCCATCTCCCACACTTTTGTGCCACAGATCCTTTCCCGGAAAGAAGAGCCCGAAAATCATGGAATCATGTTCCCCCAACTTTTGCACTGAGGCTCAGGATGCCTTCAAGCGCCTCGGAGAGGCGGCAGAGGCCTGGTGCGGGGTGTAAGCACACAGTGAAATGCAATTTCGAGCATGGAGACCCCATCCTCCCCTCCTCAACTGAAGGAGCTCCGTGGCATTCTCCAGGACTCCCGGAAAGCACTGCAGAGCCTGTGCCTGGGTCTTGCCGAGACTCCTTGAAGCTGGTGCTGCTCCGCCCTGAAGATCGACGAAAAACAAATATATGCATATGCCGGTATCGGTTTCGATGCGAGCGCCTGCAACCGCTGGCTCAACAACCTCCACCTTTCAAGCAGTTTCAAGCTCGAAGTCACGCCTCCCCGAGGTGCCAAACAACACTCGGGGGCGCCGCCCCAGCTGAGAGCCTGGAGCGGCCGCCGCCCAGCGAAAACCGAGCAAGACTGAGCGAATTTCACTGCATTTGCGAAACCCCTATAGTACCCTCTAGCCTATACTCTAGGCCCTAAAGGTTCGATGGATCTTTGTGGCCTCAGGCAAAGTGCGCTGATGGCCGAAGCGAGCCGGCTGCTGGCAGCAGTGCTTGCTCTGTCAGGCACACCGTCAGAGTTCACATTCCTAGTCTGAGCTCTTAGGCCCCATAAAGCCCCTGGACGAGGGGGGCGGGGGGGATCTTGGCTGGGCTGCTCCGCTTGCATACACGCACGTAGGCACTCATCTCTTTTGTATGTCTCCCTGCATCTTTTGTGGAGGCGAGGGCATGCCTTCGGAGGCGGCGCTGCGTCGCAGCCCGGCAGCCTTCGTCGCGCGGCCCGGCTTCCAGGGCTGCCGCCCTCAGGAGCAGAGATGAGGGCCCAAATTTAGACAAGGGATTTGAGGATGTTGAGGTTTTAGGGGTTGTGTGATGGTGTTTGCAGGGAGGACGTGCAGCTTGATCAAATGCCGTTGCCGTTGCCTGCCTGCTGTCAGGATTTGCTGAGCAGATGGCCCCAGCCCAAGCAGATGCAGTCGCCACGATGCCTTGCCACTTCGGAATGTTTCTCCGAGGTACCAGGAGTCGCATCTTCTGGATCTTTTTGCTAAAGCGCCGCTGCGAATAGCCTACGACTGCTCGCAGAAGCCTTTTCGTGCGCAGTTCCTGTGCGCCTTGAGCCGGGCTGCTGAGGCCGAGGCGGGAGAAGTTGTGTTGGCACAAGCTCATGAGTTTTTGCTCTCAAAGCCACTCCTTGCGGGAAGCAGAGGGCAAGAAGCGTACGACCCCTCCTTGCCAGGCAAACCGCAATGATAGCTGTGTACGAGGAAGCTGGCACCAGGTTGGGCATCTGCAATCCCAAACCCTTCCTTTTGTTGTCCCTTGTTTTATGCTTAGGAATTGGTCCACGGCGGTATGTAATATTTTTTGGCGGCTTCAGTTTGTGGAAGACTCGGGAGTCTGGAAGACGAGAGGGGATCTGTTTTCAGCATGAACGTTGAAAGGCAGAAGTTTCTGCAGATTTCTGCATGTTAAAGTTGCGAGTGACGACCTGCGTCTAAGTGGCGAAGATGCCCGCTAGGTGATGGCGCAATTCCCAGAGCTCGCCCTTTGGAAAGAGCTCCAGGACCGGCCGTATTGAGAGTGAGCAAAGCCGCGTGTGCTTTCTGACTTTCTGGAATCTTTCAGGAGAAGATCCGGTCACGCATCTGGGCATCAGGTGCCTCTCCGGCCAGATGCCAACAGTTTCATGTTGAGGTTTTGCAGCGAGTCGGCCCTGAGTCAGCCCTGAGTCAGCCCTGAGCCCTGAGCATCAGGTGCCGCAGCGGCCGGCAAGCGAAGCCGGAACAGCAAATGGGATGACAAGTCGGCGGCTTCTTGTGCCACGGAATGGGGGAAGAAGTGGCGCACCATCCTGCAGGATGTGCTACCCAACGCAGATGCAGCACGCTGCGCCAACGACGACCCAGAGATTCAGAAGTTGTGTATGGTGCTGTGGAAGGACATTGCGTCGTGGGTGGGCGAGAGCTTTCTGCAGCACCTACGTCTATTCCAGGCCAGTGATGCAGGCGCGGCTCTTGGGATTCTGGTGTAAGGAGTTCAGCTCGGTGCTTTCGCGAAGTCCAAAGTCTGATCAGGAGCCGCTGGCATTGGTGATGATACGAGGTGGGCCTTCGTGCCTGCGGTGGACCTCTTGCTGCTGGTCGGTGAGGGCCTGGTCGGCTGCACCGCTGAAGGCTGCTTTGTCCAGTCAGACTCGGGCTCCAGGCTGGAAGCGAGAGTCACATGAGTTTCACATTTTCTCAAATCGCTAAAGCATCTCTTCGAGTCAGATGTGTTTGCAAACATCCGTGCTGTACGTGATTGTACCAGAGGCAGTCGTTTCTGGATGCCTTGAAGAACTGGCGCTCGAGCCTTCGGAGGAGCCGTGAGCAATCCGGACAAGCTAGCACAGTCGACTCTGCCGTCAGACTTTGGAAGTCCAGTGCCAAAAGGAACAAACAGGAGTTCCAAAAGGAGTCGGAAACGACATCCAAGAAGGCACGGATCGAAGAAGAAGCAAACCAAGAAGGCCAGGCGAAGTTGAACCGCTCACCTACCAAAGTGCTACTTTTGACGAATGTGGCACCTGCGACAAAGTCAGAGGAAGCCATCAAGGCCGATGTGGATGACTCGGTGAAGAAGTTTGCTGCAAAGGAATGCCGAGTTTTGAAGGTCCCCGGCGTTCCGGAAGAGGATGCGATTCGTGTGTTTGTGGTCTTCGACACCATACAGGCCTCATCGAAGGCCTACGCAGCCTTGAGGGGTCAGGTGAAGGATGGCCGACCGCTACGGGCTCGTTTCTATGACGAGAAGCGTTTCAACGACGGCGAGCTCTACAAGGTGCCAAAGTAGAGAAAGTAGAGAGGAGCCAAAACAGATCAAAACAGGCAGGAGCCCCCACAAAGCCCTCAGACAGCCCCCCAAAGTCTTTTTGTTGTGAGGTGGGCTCTCCATGTGGGCTCTCCATGTGGGCTCCATGTGTGCCGTATAAGTCTCGGGAAATGGCGGATGTGGGATCTCATGCACTTGCAGCCTCCGTGTGTGTCGGATGTAGACAAATTATAAATGTGGGATTCCTCAGCATGGAGTACCTGCGCATCAGCAACGCACATGGGGCCCACATGTTCTCCGTTTACGTAAGAGTTTTTTTTTTTCAAATGGGGCCGGTTGGCAGGGCCTTCGGCATCTCGGCTGTGCATGCGTCAAGGCGATACCCTCACGCACCCTGGTGCTGACGAACTTGGTCCGACCTGAAGAGGTGGACGGGGGTCTCCAGGACGTGGTCCAAAGCAGGGCATGTGTCAAATCACATGAACAGACCTGAACCCCGGAGGACGAAGTGCAGCACCTGGCGAAACAGCACGGCAAGCTGTGCAGATGCGTGGTCAAGACCCTGTCAGACCTTCCCCCAGAGGCATGGCTCCAAAGCTTTAAGCTCGCTTGACCTGATTTGACTCCAACGCCTCTGGTTTGCTTGTTGTGTTTTCAGGAGTCTGTGCGTGTCTTCCTGGAATTCAGCACGGTGGAAGAGGCCGTGAAGGCGCAGGCAGCGCTGCACGGCCAAGACTTCGGACTGCGCCGCATCAAGGCCAGGTACTTCAACGAGGCTCAGCTTCCTGGGGAGTGAACGTGAAAGTGAGCGCAAGAACGCACAAGATCATGAAAGCGCAGCTTGCTTATGCCTCAAATTTGGGTGACTGCATGGACGGCGTGGACTACCGGACCACCACCGCCACCGCTCGACCTCGACCTCGGGTGCTTCAGTTCAGTGCCGTTGAATACGCTCCAATAGCCCAGGCAGGTGCAAGGATCTGGGGCTTAAGATCTTCCTGGAAACCTGCCGTCCGTCTGCGCCGAGTCGTGGGCTTGTTGCAGCTTGAGGTGAGTGAGTTGTGCTAGCCCGCATCGTTTGACTTGAAGCACAAGACGGTGGACCCAGTTGAGAGACCCGAGGACAAAAAAGCGTGCCTTGCTGCACCTATGACTTAAGAGAGCCACTTCTGTCGAGCCATTATGAGTTATACAATCCGGTGTATGTATTTCATTGAGGTTTTTCTGTGAGAATCTTGCGAGCTCACGCTGTGTTTTCCTGTGAGCTTTATCGGGCTGGGAAAGTCATGGGAGTGATGTCCCAGCGGTTGCAAGGCCCGGCACTCTCCACGGCCTATTCGCACCCTACTGAAGGGATTGACTGAGTGAGACGTCTGGCCCCTGCGGCTCTGTGGAATCTCTTCGTCGGCAGAGCACAGGCAACAGTATCAGCAAAGTTTCATTCAGCGAATTCAGCGTTCAAGACAGCTCGGGTCTCATGCCACGACCTGCGTCGCCTTGAGAGCCATGTCGGCCATGCAGGGCCAGCGCTTAACGGGTTCGACTGCGAGGTCGACGCCCAACCGCCGGGACTTGCGCAAGTATGCCAGACTGTTTGTAAAGACAGACCAGGATGGCGATGGGTTTGTTAGCAGCGATGAGGCCTATTCCCTATTCACGAGGTCACAGTTGCCCGAGGACGCTCTTCAACAAATTTGGACTTTATCCAACGTGAGTGGGAGTGGCATGCTGAGCTTCCCAGAGTTTGTTGCTGCCATGCACCTGATCCGGGAAGCTCGCCAGACTCAGCAGAGTCCGGAGGCGATCTCTTCAGACCTCTTCGCCTTCCTGGGCAGCCTCTCAGAGACTGCCCAAGAACTGTCCGTGGAAGGATCCTCGCAGTCTGCCCGCACCCTGCAAGGGTCTCATGCACCAGCGAGCTCCGCTTTTCAGGGCACCGGCCCACTCAGCCCGCACAGCCCCAACGGCCCAAGCGGCCCAAGCGGCCCACACGGCCCGCACAGCCCACACTTTGGCCACGCAGAGGCGCCGGCCGCAATGCCAGGCAACGAGGCGCATCAGGATCAGGCACAGGATGCGTTTGGACTTGGCGATTGGGGGCAGGGAGATGAGGGCAAAAAGAAGAAGGGCCGGAGGAAGGAGAAACAAGAAAGTCCCCCAGAGGCGCAGCTTGAGGTGCCGGAAGTACCATGGGACTCGCAAGTTCCGGCTCCTGGAGCTGATGCGGACTTTGGAAGTGCTTGGACCACTTTTGGGGACCAGGAGAACACAGAAAGCAAGGCAAAGAAGGAGAAGAAGGAGAAGAAGGAGAAGAAAGACAAGAAAGACAAGGAGAGGGAGGACAAGCAGACTCGGTTTGAGCCGGAGCCAAGCACCGCTTGGCCTACTGGAGGTGACTGGTCCAAGCCTTCCTTCCCGGCTCTGGACCAGAGCAGCCGCGGAAGCCCCCAGAGTAGCCCCTCTGCGTTCAGAACAAGTGGAACAGGTGGAACCCGCCAGACCAGTCAGCCTCAAACCCGAATGGGCTTGCGATTTGACCTGGACTTTGGCAAGGATGCGGATCCCGACTACATAGCGAGGCTACAGGAGATGACCTTCTTTGCTCGATTTTGGCTTGAGGTTGCGTGACTTCTTGGGGTTGTTGACAAGGTGCTCGTCATGAGATTCAGACAGATGGCAGCTTTGGTTGTGAGAGATGCGTTGTGTGTGCGTGTGTGTGTGTGTGTGTGTGTGTGTGTGTGTGTGTGTGTGTGTGTGTGTGTGTGTGTGTGTGTGTGTGTGTGTGTGTGTGTGTGTGTGTGTTTTTGTGTGTGTGTGTGTGTGTGTGTGTGTGTGTGTGTGTGTGTGTGTGTGTGTGTGTGTGTGTGTGTGTGTGTGTGTGTGTGTGTGTGTGTGTGTGTGTGTGTGTGTGTGTGTGTGTGTGTGTGTGTGTGTGTGTGTGTGTGTGGTGAGATAACTGCTTTCTTCGTAGTTCTCTCCAGGAGATCCTGGATGTTCCGCAGGGAAGCTCCCCACCGGCAACTTCTCCCAAAACGGCACAGGCATTGAGGTGGGCAGGCTGTCGCCACGACGGGCACTTCGAGGATAGGTACAAGACCGCCTACAAGGACATGGGGGACTACGCCAGCCCCGCGCTGCACGTGGCCCTGATGGGCTTTCGCTCGCCAGCCCAAGGCTCGGCAGTGATGCCAGCACCAGGCCAACCCTTCTTAAAGAGCCTCACGCCCCACTTTGTGCGGCCCGCTCCTGCCAAGACTGTCCAGGAGGTTGGGAAAGATACCATGACCCGAAGTCTGGGACGCTTGACTTTTGCGCCAATGACCGCTGCCTGATAGGGCGATCCTGGCCCTTCTTGGTTTTCATGGTTTCACACATCAGAGTCACATTTGTCACATTAGTTATTGCAAATGCAGTATCCGCCAGGCAGGATCCAGCGCTCCCTGACGAGGGAAGCGAGAGACTTTCCCGGGTCTCTTTTATCTGCTTCTTTTCGTCGCGTTGCGCTGCTTGTCTGTCGCCTCTAGTGCCGAGCGATGCTTGAAGCGACCGCTGGCACGGCAGGCGGGCAGGAGTACAGATCCATAGATTCATGCGGCAGCGCAGCTTTCAGAAATGCTCGGGTCACTCATTGCCACTCACAAGTACTACTCAAGCCTTGACCTTGTGACCACTGCTTTCTTAGCATCTTCGAGCAGACCTTGGCTCAAGAGTACATGGGCCGTTGTAAGGCCAAAAGCGGCAAATACCATCGCGCCCCTCATAGACTTTCCAAGAGGGAAGCGTAATGGAGCTACCTAGGCCCAGGCGAGCGAAGCAAAGAACCCAGCAAAACGCATCAAACCTCCATACTGCACTAGACTACTAGACCTTGAAGTGGCAGCAGCGCTGCAGCAACACACCTCTTGCCTTCACCAGATCTTTGATGGCAAATGGCGCGGTCAGCTCCTTAGTACCAGGCATTGCTTTCAGAGCATTTGATTGGTGCCATGTCTCTCTCCACAGTTAAAAGTGCAGGTGAAGGTGCGACTGTGGCAAACAATCAATGTCGCTGCAGGGCAAGAAGCTGTCCTAACAAATAGCAGCTTCTGATCCTTTGGCTTCGTTTGGCCCTAGGTAGAGCCCACCCTGGGCCCCGCACCTCGGCTTCGGGTTCCGAGGAGCCCCTCGCTTGTCATACCGAGTCATACCCTTTCGGGCCGTGGGACGACGGGTCAGTCCCCATCTTTGGCAACTCACCTGCTTTTCTCCAAATGCGGGGTTCGGAGAAGCCCTAGGCCGACATCAGTTCGGGCACCTAGACCACCCTTCATCCCTGTTAACCTACGACCTGGCGAGGACACCTCGTGTGGATGCGCCGGGGCCTGACTTAAACGAGCTCATGCAAGGAGGAATTTTTTCTGTTGATTGGTGCTTTCTCGGCCTGTGGTATGTCGTGGAAGGTCGGGGAGCTGTGCCTTTTTCGTCCTTGTCAATGCAGACAATGCACGCATTTCTGCATGCATGCGATCACGTACATGAATCTGGAGAAGAGCACCGGTACTGCATGCGGAGGGCAGAGAAGCCGAAAGCAACCAGACTCAGCTTCTAAGGCCTCTGCCATCTGCAGGCGGGGCTGGCTCAGTGGCTCCCACTAAAGCACTAAACGTCAGTAAACGCCACTGAACCCAACGATTTCTCGAACCATTTTCCACCCGCAAATTGCCCAAAGTCCCCTCAGTGTTCGCTTGTGAGGCGTGGATACGGAGCCTAAGGCGGGGAACGTTTCGTGGGCTTCGCAGGGTGAGCTCCTGAGTTTGGATCGCGCTTTGGCAGCTCTGTTAGGCTCATTTCGAAACTTTCAATCAAAAGACAGCTCTGCGAGCTTTGCACCTGCATTCCCAGGACAACTTGGGGACGACCCCTGCAGCCAAAGTGGTCTGCGTCCCAAAACTGGGGAGGACGAGATGTAGCAGAGAAGACAAGTGGCAAGTTGTTGTCATTGTGTTAAAACCATGTTAAAACCACACTTGGAGAGGTTGGACCGCGCTGCCCCAGCTTTGGGCTCGCGCCGCTTGGCACGAAAGGAGAGAGAGAGCGATAGAGAACGAGAGAGAGGGGGAGCAACTGGTCTCGTTTGGGGGGATCACATGCACAGGAAGGAAGGAAGAGGGAGCAACGAGGGGTGCCTTGAACTTAGTTTACAGAGGGGAGGGTTGCACCTCCTGCTCCTTTCTTGGCCCAGTGTCACAAGGGACCTGAGACCAACCGGGCGCGCCCTGCGCGCGGGGGAGGGCGCTTGCACTCCCGCAAGCCCAGCAGAAGAAGAAGAAGAAGAAGGAAAGAGAGAGAGAGAGAGAGAGGGAGATAGAGAGAGCGAGAGCGAGAGTCTCAGTTTGCATCCGTGGCACCACTGTTCCTTCAACCTGTGAGGCTCCGGCGCCTGGCAGCACCGTGGCCAGCACAGAGGCCACGCCGAGCCCGAGGGAGCAAACCGGCTACCGGCTCGGCGCCCCAGCTTTCGGGTTTTTGAGGCTTGGGGTTCTAGACGAGGTGGCGCCCAATGGCTTGTGATTTTAACTTGGCCGGGGCTTGCCTCCGCGGCAGCCACTGACACCATTTGGGTTTCGGGGTGTAGGGTTCACGGGTTCAGGGCTTTAGGTCGCACTGGTTGCAAGCAATCTAAGAGAGGCTGCAACCTCTGAGTGCAGGTGGCTACAGCAGCTAGCCCTCTTGAAACAAAGTAAAATCCCAGATGCATAAAGTCGTTCTTCCCACTTTTCCCGCATCCCGGAAAGACAGCGGCTCTAGTTTGCCGGCCAGGAAACGTTCCTGGCAGTGCCGAATTTGGTTTTCAACTAGCTGTACACTTTACACCCACTGCCGAAGCCCAACGCTGCGCCCTGTGTTCCTTGGAAGCCTAACCCAGAAAAAACCATTCACAGCCCAAGCTCAGTTCGTCCATGCCGGGTGGTCTTCATGTGCCTCGATTGAAGTCGAAGTGTGGAAGGATCTGGAAGGTTGGTCCGGGGTTTAGGACTGAAGCTGAGAAGTGGTTTTCGGGCTTGAGGGGGTCCCTTATTGCAAACCGAAATAAGAATCCAATATAGAATCATCGATGCCTGTGCTGAGCCTGTACAGCCGGGCCCGGAAACATCGGTTCCAGTACTCAGCTTGAATTTTGACCAGTGAACTTCCGGCCGGTTCGCAGAAGCATAGGTTCCATCACTCATGCGGTACTGCAACCAACCGGCTCACGGGAACATGTTGTCCAGTACGCAACCTGTACTGCAAAGCAATGAAGATTCAGCTGGATCACGGAACTCTCTATTTGCTGAGCTTGTAGTACACAGCCAATGAACGAGTGTTGTCTGGGTCATCTTGGAGTGTTCTTGGACCGAGTGATTTTGCTAGGCTGGCATAGTTCTGACTTTGTTGGGACTGAGGCGAATTTAGGCTCAACAAGTCATAGCCGTCAGCCATCAACAGCAAGAGCAAGAGCTTCCAGCACAAGCGGTAGGTACCTTGTGGTGCGTTCTCAGGACCTCTCGAAGCTGGATCACATAATCCAGCAGGCAAAGGAGGTCCAGGCCCGCATGTTTTATACTTGTCGACAGCCACACAGCTGGTGCTGGGGTGTTGGGTGCTGGGTGCTGGTGCTGCTTCTGCACAGCCATGCGTGTTGGGTGCCTGCGCTGGGCTGCCGGAGTGACTCAGTATCCGTTTGCTGCAGTCGCTCCCTGGTAAATAGGACCAGCTGCTTGCCAGCGTCCGTGTGGTCTGGACCTAATCCCAACACGGAACAGGGGTCAATTGGGTCAATGTCCAGCCAAGGGTTTTGGTTTGGGGGTTGAGGGTTTTGAGGTTTCGTTGTTAGGTCCCCAGAGATTTCTTGCGGGATTCAGGGGTTTAGATGTTCAGGATTTTGCGTCAGTGTTTTCTTTCACCCTGAACCCCGAAACCCAAAACCCTAGACCCCGAGCCATTGACCTCGGGAACTCCTTGTCGAAGGGGGAGGCAATGCTGTTGAGGGATGTGAGGGTGGAGGGTAAGCAAGGGTTCTCGGCGAGGCGGAAGGAGGGTGGCAGGCTTTATCTTTATTGCATGTCTGCAAGATTGGATAAGGGTGTAGGTTTAGGTTTAGGGCCGTAATTGTTCAATGAAGTTTTAAAGGTTGATTGGGTGAAAGGTTTATGTAGCCCGTCCTCCTTGCAGAGTACCTGGATGCCTCAGCTCCCCAAAGCTCTCACCGCCAGAAGCCATCCAACGTGATGGCGTTTAGGTTGAAGGTTAAGGGTTCTTGTCGGGTTGCATCTACGATAATGGAGTAGAATGCGGACCTCACATGACTCTTTGCAAGGAGCCTTCTCGAACGCAAAGCCCCCCCCCCCCCCCCTCCCCGAAAACCCAACACTCTCGAACGACCCTGCCCCCCCAATCCCCACGCCATCAGGAAGTCAATGCTATCGTGCTTGGGGCAAATCACCGTGTCGCTTCAGGCTTCGCAGCATGCGCGTCCGATGGCTCCGACCGCTGCAGCTCTATGTGCCTGTCCCACTCTTTGCTGTGTCTCAGCTTGTTGTTCGCAAAGCATCGGATGCGCCAACGTAGTCATAACGGCCATAGCTAGTTCCCAGTTACAACCTTTGCTGATTGGGTTCGTTTTGGTTTTTGAGATGAGTGTTGGGATTCCCTCTGGCTCATGGCAAAATCTAACATTCAGCCGATGAGCCTCACGGGGCCGGCGACACCACGTCAGTCGTGTGCTGACGTCGTGCATCCGACGTCCATGCAGCCTGAAGCTCCGACTCCAAACAATGCAATCAGGCCTTGCCGAGCCCATCACAGGGACAAGCACGGCCCGAGCCTTGGCTGTGGGTTGCCCAGGCTGCGCACATCTGCACACCTCTGCGCACCTCGGCACACTTCGGCACACATCTGCACACATCTGCGGACGGTGTCGTCCCTGGCACCTGGCACGAAGTTCTTTGATCATTTTGATTGGGCTGTGCTTTGTGACGTTGTCGTATCCTCGCCTCGCTGACACCCTGGCCACAGCGCTCCGAGGCTAGAAGTCTGCAGCCTCCAATAGAGCCTCCGAAGGTCCAGGAGGCCAGAAGCACCAGCGCCCGGAACCAAGCGCTGGGTCATACTGGGTCATATCACAAAAGTCCCAGAGTCGAATTCACGCCGGTAGACCCAAGTTTGGTTTGGTCGAGGGGGCAGACTCCCTCAATTTTGAGGTGCCCCGCAGCGCTGGGCCGCCGGAGGCTAAGCCGAATTACCGAAGCCATGCGCCAAAAGTGCTGCGCTTTTCGCGCGGGCAGCTGAACAAGGCCAACCCTATCATGTCGCGAGAGACCACAATACAAGAGATGATGGGAGTAACGCAAGCCATCAGAGTGAGAATATTGGGCCTTGTGCCATGAGACCTCTCTCTTGACAAATATCGAGTTTGGTACATATTGGTATGTTATTTTCTGCGTCTGGCGCTCCAGGAAACATTTCACGGGAGTCGAGATACGGGAATGAGAGCGATCAAGGGTGGTGCAAATCAGCAATCCCGAACATGGTGGCAGAGTAGGGTGGTAGAGTAAGCGCAACAAAGCAAGCATAGAGTTTATGCACCCTCATGAGGTACAGTTTCTCCACCTTGATGCAGAGGCGCCCATGCCTGCGCCACCCAGCAAAACAACGAGAGGAAGGAAGCAGCGTAAAGTAGAGGATGGATTCCAGCAGATTGCTTTCAAGGATCCGTTAGGTGTTGGTATGCGTCGGGGCTTTTTGTGTGGTTGGTAGCTTAGTTTGCAATATCTGATCCTAGGTAAGCCTTGCCAAGCTAACCAACTATGTCATGTCAATCCTGTTGAACTAGGTTTCGACACCACAGCAACACTCACCAGACATCATGTGTTAGATCCATCGTAGCCCAATCGACGATATTCTCAGATAGACAGGGATGTTTATCCTTTGGATGCTGCGCTGGGTAATTTTGTTCCTATCTTTTTTGGTGCATTGAATTTTCCATGCCATAGGTATGTTTCGGTGTGTGTGCCTTCAGGCTTGGCAATGCCAGTACTCTTATGCAGTTATTCTTCTGTTTACCTTGCTTCGCTTAGCTTTGTTGCGCCTGTCGTGTTTTTCATCGCGTGTTCGCGCGGGGGTCTTGTTATAAAGCTTCGCATGTTCAGTCTTCTTCTCGGTCTTTAGGGGCTCACTCTGTTCTCTTTTGAAAATCTGTTCATCTCACCGGGCTGCCTTTAACTTCACTTTCACTTCTCAGTAGTTCTCAGATGAATGAGAAGGTACGGTCAGATATTATAAAGGAGGCACTGACGAAACAACCTTCCGATAATCATGCTCAGTTCAGTTAAGGACAATAAGACTGCGGCAGGTGAGTGCAGGGATGTCTCGAATGTTGGTGAGGGTTTCCCAAGCAATGACCTACCGATGTCAGCAGGTTTCAACAAAATTTCAAAACGTGCAAGCTACCGCCATGTGGGCCAATATTTTTTCGTACAAGTGCTCGTGACATACTGAAGGACATCGTCAAAACACATGAATGGCATGATGTGCTCTTCACTTGCATTGTCTTTCCTCTGGATCGGTTGCCATGTCTTATTTGCTAGTCAGTCAGTCTTTGACATGCCCACCTTTGAGCCTAACGCACTCAAACCTTTGTCCAGCTGTACAAAATCTCCATCTGCTGAGCTCATGTATGTTGATCTCTCAATGTGAATCTTGTGTTGCGATTCGCTGCAGGGCAGACGAAGGCATCGACCGTGGACGTGGTTCGGCCTGGCCCAAAAGCACAGCTGGCGCCCAAGATGGGGGTTACAACACAATTTCGCCGCGGCGGATGTGGTGCGTCATCATGACTAAACGTGAAGGCCAAGCAGGCACAAGGCCCTAATTAGGCCAAAGCCCAGAATCGTCTTCCTGTTGGCAGGCCCCGGAGGACTCGTCGCGTGTGAGGTGCGTTGGGCATGTGAGATCACAAGGTTTGGGGGTTTAGGGTGACTGTCGGCTTTGGCAGAAAGGCTGAGTCTTAACCTTCCAGAGTCTTTGGTGGGGAGTTTGCAGATCCGGGTTTTTGCAAGGAGGCTTCGTCGCAGTTTGTCTTTCTTGCAGCCTAACCCCATACCCTCACCCATCCCTCCGAGGCGGGCGGCAGAAGAACTGCTGGAGTCTGTGCGTCGACGAGCTCTGGAGGCAAGCCACGAAAGCCTGACGAGGGTGTGGAGTTTTAAAAGCTTGGGTTTTGGGGGATTTGGGGTTTAGCTTTAACTATTAGGCTGGAATCCAGGGCATGGCCTTCGAGACAGTCTAGCGCAGCCTATGCAAAGAAGGAGCTGTGCAGCCTTCATTATGCATGGTGGCCATGTTAGCTTACCTGTAGATATCGCGTGCACGTGTTGACACCTTTCCGCCTGTCCGCGTGGCTTTCGGCTCAGGGAGAGGGGAAGATTGCATCAACCGCTTGCTCTGCATCATCCCTTCAATCACGTTTTCTATTTACTAATCTTAGCACCGGCCTCAGTGCAGAAGCACAGCAGGCTCCGACGCTCCATGAGGGCGGTGCTTCCCAAGTGCCTAAGGTTTGGGCTGCTCCCAGGCTTCCTCCATGGCAGGGGGGCCAAAATTTGCCGAGTTGGGGCGATGCGGAGAGCATTGTTCTGGGATTCTCTCTCTCTCTGGTGAGGCTGTGATCTGTGGAACTGGGATGGATGAGAGGAGCTGCTGCACTTCTGGGGCTTTAGAGCAACGAAAGCACCAGAAACCACAAAAGCACATGGACACCGAACTCTGGAAGGACCCTTGCCATGGTGCAGGGCCTCTTTGCAGGGCCCCCAAGGAAAGCACTCACAGGAGGTTTTGGAGGGCTAGTTGCGGTCTGACCCTCGCACCCCCCTTCCCCCCCCACCTTGAGGCGATGATCTTTGGAGCTGCCGTCCTTAGTCTTTTGAGTGAAGCACAGGTCTTTCCGAGGCGAGCCGGGGGATTGCTGGGCTGTGGCAGTTTCCAGCGCCAACATGCGCGGGTTTTGGTCGTTTATGTTCTCAGAGGCGCTGCGTATGCCAGACCGGCTCGGGGATCTATGGCTTGTGCGAGGCTGCTGCTTTAGGAGTACCCATCGTGCTGCTTTTTGGACTCAGTCTCGCAGTCGAAGTGCAGTCGCTGGGGCCGCTAGGGCCGCTAGGGCGAGGTGACTTGAGTCACTTGAGTCACTTGAGGTGTGGCAGGATTGCCGGACGGTCATTAGCTTCATGATGGGCGCGATGATATGCCACTGCACGAAATGCTCCAAAGGCGGGGGGTGCTGCAATGCGGCTGCAATTTGCCACAATCATTTTTTTTCTGTCTTGGGCATGTTCGGAACCAGGAGATGAGGACCACGAGCCAAGCGGGAGGAGACGATCCTTGTAACGTGTGGTCTGCTGTGCAGAATGCTGTGCAGAATGCTGTGCATAATTGGAACACGTTGGAGCACTTTCGGCAGGAAAGGCCTCCATCTGTCCATGATTTGGTGACGGCACTGAGTGCTCCCTGTAGTCCGCTCCCTTTTGCTGCCGCCTCAACAAGGATCGTGAGCATCAGCATGTTGCCCTCGGGCCCAAAACCCGAACCATTGGAAACTTTGCTGCCCGAATTCTGAGCCGATCAAATGATCCAGGTCGATGAATGCTTGCGCAACTGACTCAGCGCGAGTTGCACAAGTCTGGCGATCCAGGACGTCGACCAGACTTATTCACTTTTGGGAACCGCACTGATAGTGTTGCAAGTTTTGACCAGCATCGAAGTGGCCATGCAGCCAGTTCCCTGATGCTGATCTGCCTTCACAGGCGAATTTAACACTTCATGGACCATTTTTGGGAATTCGGTGGAGCAAAACCCCTGTGGGAGAGCACATGGACGAGGATTTCAAAGGCACCGAGGCGATTCCCTTCAGCCATTTTTTCTTAGACAACTTGGCAACACCGACAGGAAGGGGCAAGAGGTTACTAACTGGTGGGTTTGGGGGTTGGGTGTGTGTTTTAAGGATGTTAGGGGGCCACCTCGCGCCCTTGAATTTGAAGCGTTGGAGAGAGCTGTGAATAGCAGTGAAGGTTCTCTTCGCACCTAGAGCATGCCGTACAGCTGCATCTCTGGCTGTACTGCAACCCGTACTGCAACCACGTAAAGGTTGATGCACTTTCCATACTCGAGGTCTGGTATAACGTTTTAGTCTTTCTCGTCTGGACGTGGAGAAAATCCCATCGCCCGGAGGCCCCCTCTCAAAAACCCACAATTGTGGGTTCGTTGGGTGGTGGCTTGTTTGGAAGGTTGGGAGCATGGCGAATGCTACACTCTATGCCCCGAGCGGCCCAACCCCCCTCCTGACCCCCCAAAACCCTAGCCTTCCTCGTGAGCCGCGAGAACGGGGGGCTTGAATTCCGACCAATCTGGCCGATGAGCCATTTTGCAAGGATATGGCTGTGAAAATTGCCTCTGTGTTTGGATTGTGCTGGTGTATCGGAGACCTCAGGCCGAGTTGCGAATCCCATTCTTTTTACTGCTCTCAATGCTCTCTTTCCTTTCTCAGTGGAGGCTGAGATCGATCGGCTGCGCTCGGAGCTGGCCTCCACGGAAGCCGCGAAGCAGCGGCTCCAGGCCTCGAGAAAGCATCAAACAAACCCAGGGGCGGAAGCTCCCTCCATACTAAATTCGTTTTGGCCATAGCAGTGAAGCACTGAAAAGCCTTAACCTTAGCCCGAAGAGCCCTTTTTGAATGGCCCCGAAAAAAACGCAAGGAGGAGGAAGCTGCGGAGGCAGAAGCGGGGGCGGAGGCCCAAATCCATGCAGCCATCAGTGTGCATGAGTGTGCATCTGGTTCCTAATACTCCCCTTATAGGAAGCTTTTCTGAATTCTGAGATCCCCACACGCCCCCCTCCTCCCCCTCCTCCCATCCCCCGATTCCACGAAGCCGCAGGCAGCTCGGCTGCTCCGCGAGGCGCGCCTGGAGGTCACTCGCCTCAAGGCGGCCCTACAAAGGCCGGGCGTTGAGCGTTTCGCGATATTTTCACTTGTGTTTTTTTTAGGGTGTAATTAGGCATGTAGGGTTCAACAGGGTTCAGTGTGTGAAATCCGACACGAAAGGTAGACAAGGGGAGACGCCTCATTTTTGCAGACCCCACTGGTTGCGCTGGCGGGTCTTGCTGCTTGGAGTAGAGTTTCCAGTGCTGAAGCTCTCAGGCAGACAGGAAACGACAAGCTCATGAAGGAGGCAGAGTTCCAACAAGAGATCCCTAACGAGATTCCAGAGAAATCCCAATGATAGTGATTGGCAGTGGCATCCCCAAAAAGGGAAGGGTCCGAGCTGGAACTTGGGAATCCGCCGTGACTATTTCTGTGGTTGCAAGGCAAGTGCTCGGGAGGTGGCCCTACAACAGGAGCTGTGCCATGCTACCAGCCAACCCGAAATATCCAAAAAACCCAACTTCCCAAGGAGCTGCGGAGCGCGCAGGCGGAGGCCGCGAATCGCGGCGAGGACCGGTTTGCAGAGACAGGTGGACAGGTTTGTTTTCGAAGAAGGGTCTTGCACCGTAGGCATGGCAGAACAAGGTCCATGGCTCGACATAGAGTGCAAACATGGACAAGAAGCTTGCAGGTTCTTCGAGGCAAATGACAGCTTGGGTATAGGGTATTCTTTGTACATGTTCCGTTCTGTTGGCTGCTCTAATGTGTGCAATTGACCGTCTGCGCTCACGAGGTATCCCAAGGTCCAGACCGCGCAATTCCAAACAGAGTTGCTGCACACCCACATCCGTATACGTGCATATGACCATGTGCATATGACATCTGCTGACGCAGGGCCGCTGGTATTTGAATTTTGCATGCTTGGCAGGATCTTCGGCAGGCGGAGGCCAGCGGAAGCTGACTCAATTTTAACGTTACGCGACCTGTCTCGGCCGGTGCCTGCCCAGCGGCCACGCAACCTCAAACCATGGCAATCGTAGGTGCATGCTACGGTCACGAAGACGCGCAGACAGAAAAGAAAAGCAATGACGAGACGACGAAGAGGGGAGAAAAAGATTGGACGGCGGTCTGTTTTGGGGAGGTTTAAGAGGGGGGGGGTGGAGCGGCAGGGGGAGCGCCAGAAGAAGAAGGCAGGGAGGTGTGACGCCGAATCTGGTGTCTGTCCCGTACGGTTGGCGCCAAACGCCCCCTGGTCCTGATGCACCGTCCACACATTGCAAACAGAAAGCCACGACGGACTGCTCGATCCCTGTTGTAGTACACTTCTTGTATGGTAGGGTCCCAACAAGGTATGTCCGAATGGCATTGGACCTCAAACCAGTGGTTTGACTCCCGGTGATCCTGGTGTCCTGGCTGAAGGCTCAGAAACGTGAGCTTCAGAAAGAGTGCGATGAGGAAAGGCGGCCGGCGACTTGGCCCGCTCTGCTCAGAGCACGCCCCATGAACCCTGAAGTCAGTTGCCGAGCCTTGCTGATTGGTTACCTGCACCGGCTGAGCCAGGTTGCGGCTGGAAGGCGAGAAGAGGCAACTTTTTTGCGCTGTTCAACACGTGCCCAATCAAGGTTCCCAGCAGTGCAGAGCAGGTCAGAAGGCCTGATCTCTGCTCCAGGCTGGTGCAGCTGCAAGGGAGCCACCAGCGGCTGCAGGCACTTGGCGCTACGATGCCTAGTCACGTGAGGCATGGAGTTCGGATATTGATCTATTGGTGCATCGGCAGGAGGCAGAGGGGCTTCGAAGAGAAGCGGCCGAGGGCCAAGCATGCAATCTTGATCCTTCACGGTGCTAAGATTGCAAAGTTGAAGATTGCAAGTCTCAAAAGGCTCTGGTCCAGTTGTGGCTCTCATTGTTCCTTTGCTTACTGTGCCCGCTCAGGAAAAGCTGCTGGCAGACCGAAAGGAGGCCATGCGACGCCCCCTAAAACGTGGAGTGAAACAACGGGCCGCTTGAGGGTGACGTTTGAAGGGCATGATGCACACGGGTGGCCCCATCCCTAGGCTACTGCAAGCTCTCCTTTCCCTCAGCTCCAAACACCTGATTTACAATCTGAATTCATCAAGAGGCAGTTCCAACATAAACCCTGCACTCTCCTGCAATCCAAGTTGCGTTAGGTTGCATTCCGTTCCAATTGCAGTGGCTCCGAGGAGTTGCGGCAGCTGCAGGACTTGCTGCAGACGGAGCAGTGCTCTGGCAGCAGGGGGCGGGGCCACACAGGGTAGGGCTTCACGTGGAACGTTTTTGGGCGCTGGAGGTCTGCCCGATTGGCCTCTGATCGGCGCTGCAGCCAGACAGAGGCACGGTGGACTCACTGGACTCATCACCCAATGAGGGGATGTGTCCTGCCTGATTTGTCAGGACCAGAGCCGGCGCAGATCAGACGAGTTAGAGCAGCTCAGAAGCCAAAGTGTGCCCTGGTGGCATGGTCTTCTGGCTGTACCTGTTTCACAAGGGTCTCACAATCAATCGCCGCTTTGAGGCCGAGCTGCTCAACCAGGAGAAGGAGGCTGTGCGTAGGGATTTCATCAGGGTATGCACACATGTATGCGCTTTGTTTCAATGCCCTTTTGTGCATTTTGTAACATCAGGAGAAGCGGCTTCAGGAGGAGGCGTGCCAAGAAGCGAGGACGGCATGGGTCCTCTGTCAACAACACGAGGGCGAGGATCCACAGAGCTACCAAAACCGGTTTTGAGAATTACTTCCAAAATCTATGTGCTTTCGGGCTGGGAGGGTGCACCCACCACCGACAGAATCCAAGCTTTGCAGGCCCTTCCTGGAATCGCGCTCCTGTTTTCAGACTGGAGAGCCGCAATACACGGATTACACGGATCGCACGGATTGCAAGCGTACCCTTATCGCTTTCAGTTCTGATCAGATGGGAAAAGCGAGTGAACATGAGGGTCAACCTAGCCAACCTCCTCCCCCACAACAGTCCAAAGCGATGCCATCCAGGAGTGCGCAGAAGCACGCCGAAGAGCGGTGCCGCGCGTTGCAGGCCCTTTCAGAGAGGTATTGGGTGTCACACAAAACTCACAAGACCTTGTGACCTAAACCTTCTAATCCAAAACCCTGTCGCATCCTAAATCAACGGATGCGCCGTTGCTGCCGAGGTCGATCTGGCCCAGTGCCGTGCCGAGCTGGCCACGGCCGCGGAGGTGGGCACGAGCGTTTGGGGAGCATTAGGCATTAGGGCTTCAGGCCATTTAGGGTTTAAGGCGAGGTGGTATGAAATGTTGATCGGAGAGCCGCTTTTGGGCCTCCCTGGTTCCTTGTGCCACTGAAGAAGTTTTCAAAGATAAGCTCAGTCACTACTTGTAACCACGTAAAGACGAGCTGCTTGATGGCCCACGGGAGGAGCTGGAGCGCAGCCACGCGGACGGTGAGAGCCTCCAGGCTGCTCACGGCATGCCCTGGAGTAGTAGTGCATGTCTGCCCAAGTGCCAATTTTGCGAAGTATCACACACTGTATCTGCAAGTGGAGAGATCTCAGGGTCTGGAAGGATTCACCTTGCATCTGA